GAAGGGAGTTCCCCAGCGTGTAAGTCTGCTGCTGGTTCTTCCTCCCCAGGTGCAGTACCCTGCACTTGTCAGTGTTGAACCCCATCCTGTTCTCATCCGCCCACCACAACAGACTTACCAGCTGCGTGGCTCTCCAAGCTGCCAGTCTGTGTTCCTTGTCGCCTATGTGCTGTGCTGCGGCTGTGCATGTGCACAGGCCTTTTATTGGCCACATCATCAGCCACATCAAGCCAATTTTTGGTACAGCCAGTTTTCTTTATACTGGTGCTGATCTGATATTGGACCTATGTATCAGTGCACCTCTAGTAACTAGTTCAGGCCTCTGAAGTCTAGGGACAGGTCACTTGGTTGGTTTGCTTAGTTGGTTTGCAGAGTCAATATTGGGAATACTGGGAATATTGGCTTGCAGACAGACAGCTTCTTGGTGCCCTCAGCATCCCTGGGATTTCTCTGAAGTGGTTGCACTTGAAAGGAAAGTGCCATAAAGCAGTCTGACATGTTTTTAACAAGGACAATGGCAGTTTGGTGGTAAGAAATGTTTTCTGACATTGAGATGGGCCAGCTCCTCAAAATGGGCTCATATATTTTGTAATTTATCACCCTAACAAGTGAGGATCACATTAGTTTTAGTTTCACTGCCAGTTTACTGCTGTCCATACTGTTACTGGCTGAAGCGAGGGAGTGGTCCAGCCAAATGCACCTGGAGCTCTGAGTGCTTCACGTGGGGCATCGGGGTGGCTGATGTGGCATGAGTACTGGGAGCAGCTGTCCAGGAGTTCTAATTGAACTAAAACTTGCCAGAAATTCTCAGTGGTGAAGCTAAAGCCAGGCCTTTGCCACTGTGGTCTGCTCATGTAGCCATTTGTTTGCCATGTGTTTGTGCATGAGTGCTGAGTGGGTCCTAATGTGCAGGGGCTGCACCTGGGGGACCACAGTGGGCAAGGGATGTGGCATGTGCTGCCAGAAAGTACTTGAGCTGCACTCAAGCCATTTACTGGCCTCTGGTTCAGGTCATGCCTTGTTTCAGTCTGTATTTGTGTATCCTTGGGCTAGTCCCCTTCCACAGGGACAAGTGAAATTATTTCCAGGCCCTATAGAAGTGCTAAGCAGTGTTAAGTATTGGACCACATCAAATCATAGAAAATTAAGGTTGGAAGGGACCTCAGGACATCATCTAGTCCAACCCCCTGCTCAAAGCAGGTCTCCAACTATATCATCCCACATAGACATGGCTGAGTTTGACTCCAGGGCCTAGACAAATCATCCAGATCTGGCAGGCTGCTGTATGAATAATAATTCTGAAAACCAGAGCAGCTTTTCAACAGCATGATTAAGAAGACTTAATTGAGAAGAATGTGTAGTGTGGAAAAGACATATGGTGTCAGACTCTGTTCTCAGCTACTCTGGTGTGAATCAGGAGTGACTCCTCTGGCTTGAGGCAGATACGTATTTCTTGCTGGTGTGACAGAGGGCAGTCAGTCCTTTCTACAGGTGGTTTAGCAAACAGGGGATCAAACTGTGACACATTCAGCTGGAAATGGTTCTCCCATTCCCACTGATATCATACATTGCTCCTTTCTTGGTTATGGAACAGCTGAGGTTCTGTTTAGAATTGTATCTGGCT